ATGAATTTTGCAACTAATATCTATTTTAAAATACGAAATAAAGAAATCAAATCTCAAAGATTACCCAGATTCAGGAAAAGATATTTGTGCCGAGTCTTGTCTATGTAAGAAAACATACAGGACATGAACTCCATCAAAACAGGACCATTTTCTGAATTGTTGAAATACTGTGCCATTCAGTTTCCATTCAGCCTAGTGGGTGGCTAAGAGTTTTGGAAGGTTAACATTTCTTCTGAATTTATTTTCAGATTGTTAAATACTATTTGATCATTTAAACAAATCCCTCTCAGCTATTTTTTTTTTTTTCATATTTCAAAGAATAGTACTCGGAACAGCAAGTAGAAGAGCAGTTAAAATTCAAGCTGAATTTAATATTATTCATTTGTATCATATGTTTCTTTATAACTCAGAAAACTCACCTTCAGATGTCTGCCTTAGCAACAGAAAAGATTCTTAGATATTTGTTTTCTCTGAGGAATGTAAACTTAAATTAAGCTTAAAGTGGAATCTGTGCTTGGATGCCATGACATTTGATAGGTGCAACCAAGGGATACAATGGAGAATGAATTTACTCTATCAGTAAGGCTGAAATAATGAGAACTACTGAAGCATAGCTTTTTAGGCAGAAAAAAGAAAAGAGAGAAATTGCAAAGATCAATATTTATGCTGAAAAATCCATTTTAGAAAATATCTTCTCCTTTCCTAAAGATACTGCTGCAGAATCATTTTTCACTTAGGGGCTTTCTGAAAGAATTGTTTCCCCTTTAGCAGGTATAGTAGTATGAATGAGCCATGGAATCTCAAAAAAAAGCTCTTGGTGGAGCAGGCATTTATTCCCAGAAGCAAGACATCAAATCAAACTGGCAAGTGGCTACAGACACTGCATCATTGAACAATATGTATAGAGCATGGTTCAGAAACCAACAGCTATTTCCATTATAGCCGAGTGCATTTGCAGGCTGGGAGAAGCATGTTAGCCTGGGAGAAATGAGAACTGGTGAATCTCAGCCAGTCTTTGGAATAAGCCCAAACAACGAGTGCCAAGTTTTAGGCAAGACTTGGTAAACAGGCCTAGGATCTTGTGCCACAGTTGCTGCTGGTAAAGGTCAGCACCTATGGAGACAACACATCCTAAAAGCCTTCTTGTTTTGACAGCTTTCAATATCCCAAAAGAATATAAACATTATGTTTTCTTTTCATATTAACATTGCTTATTAACACTGGGATCTTAACAGTGTTTGTGGGAATTTATCAATACTGATCAATATCTAAAGGGTGAGGTCAAGAGGCTGGGGCCAGACTCTTGATAGTGGTGCCCAGCAACAGGACAAGGGGCAATGGGCACCACCCTGAACCCAGGATGTTCCATCTGAGCAGGAGAAGAAATTTCACTGCTGTGAGGGTGGCCGAGCCTGGATCAGGCTGCCCAGAGAGGCTGTGGAGTCTCCTGCTCTGGAGAGATCCCAAACCCACCTGGATGTGATCCTGGGCACCGTGCTGTGAGTGACCTGCTGGAGCAGGGGGTTGAACAAGATGATCTCCAGAGGTCCCTTCCAACTCCTACCACTCTGTGGATTTGTGAACACTCCGTTCCACCTTTCCTGCTATGTCCTGCTCCTAATTCACACACTATCCTAAAGACTGGTGTTGATCAGTAAACTGTAAATCAACATTATTATTTGCTCTTTAGACTGCAGCCATTAAAAAAAAAAAAAAAGTGGCAAAAGCACTTCCCCATCATAATCTATTAGTATAGTTAGTTATTTAACTATTGCACAAAATCTAAACATTGAATATGAAATTTCATAATTCACAGAACTGTAAACTAACGGAAGCTGGAAGTTGTTTAGTCCATCTCTGCACCCTAAATTGTCAGGGCCATCTTAGACCAAGTTGCTTAGATCACTGAGCACTTTAGATTGAAATCTCTGAAAGTCATCTACTTTCACCCTTCATCTTGAAGCAGAGGCACCTTTATGTTCAAGGTTCATGGGGATTCTCAGGTTGTGCTTTGGATATCTCTGAGGACAGCTATTCCACAGCCTCCAACTTCAGTAGTGCCTAACCACTTTTGTTGTAAAATACTTTTTTTCCTTATTTCCTATTGCAATTTCCCTTGCTGAAAAGAGTGACTGTCATCTTACGACCATTGACTGTGCATGTATCAGGGGAGTCTGCTCTGTCTTGTCTTTACCTGCCCTTTGTAGAGCAGATGACAACAAATAGTTCTCCCTTGAGTCACCTCTCCTGCAGGCTGAACAAAGCCAGCTCCCTGAGCCACTCCTTGTGCATCATGTGCTCCAGATCCCAAACATTTCACTGGACTCCTGCTGGTCTTGCTCTAGCCTGTCAATGTCTTGTCTGTATGGGCAAGCCTGAAACTGGGCTCAGCGCTCTGTGCGCAGAATGTCAGGTCCTGTGTAAAAGGTATTAGTAATTTTTCTTGACTCGCTGGCTGCACTCCTGTATACTTTAACTTAATGTCTTTTAATTCAGAATATTTGGATGAAGGTCCAAATAAACTCAAGGCTATGTTACAATCAATAATAATAATAATAATAATAATAATAAAAGGATCCTTTTCCATTCTGGTTTATAAGTTTCCTTCCATTTAGAAACATTTCTACCAGTGTATGAAACTAGAAGACTTGTCTTAAAGAAAATAGGAAATGTTAGAAAAATATTTAATTGCAGAAACGTGAGTCTGCAGGAACAGGTCATCATCCTACTCAAACAAGTGGGAGAGATAATGTGTAGTTCTGAATGCAGGAATACATGAATATAAATTCAAGGCAATTTTCCTCTCTCTGTAAGACTGATACAAATATTGGACTTTCACACTGCAACTGATGTAATTTTTTTAGTAAAATGGTTACGAGGAAAGAAATAAATCATAATCTGATAGTAAATCAGACAGCCTATTAGATACCTATTTTCAAAAATTTATGCTTGTAACAGATTCTATCTGAAATATATTTCACAAAGAAATGGCAAATATTTACTGCAGATTGCAAAAGATATTACTAATGCCTTAACTTTGATGTGGTAATTCAAAGAAAAAGCATCACGAAACCTTTTTAAAGAACAACAATTACATTCAATGATCATTATGACCAACAGTGTTTTTATGATTCCTTGCATTTAATGAGCAGTAGCTACAAGTTGTGCTTGTAACTGTAATCCAGACTTCATTAATCTACTAGTCACCAATTTGTTTGGCTTTTTTTTTCTTTTTTTCCTTTGTCTGGAAGTGCAAATATTCTGCAGAGAATAGTGTCCACTGTTGACCAAGGAGAGCTGATGCCATCATGGCTATTCAAATTTTTTTATAAAGGTGACACAAAAATCCTGATTACCCCCATTCACAGTGTGGCACATACTTTTTCTGATTGCTTTTCAAAGTGAATGGAGCAGTGCAAGAACAGCTCAAACATGTATTAGTGGGATATACACTGATAAATGCCCTGTCAATGGCATTCTGTGCATTTTAGGATTAACTTCAAACTGTGGAAACACAGAATCACAGAATGGTAGGGGTTGGAAGGCACCTCTGGATATCATCTAGTCCAATCCCTGTGATAAAGCAGGTTCACTTAGACCAGGTTGCCAGGATTGCACCCAGCTGTGTTTTGAAAGTCTCCATATAAGGAGACCCCACAACTTCTCCAGGCAGCCTGTTCTAGGTCTCTGTCACCCTCAAAGTAAAGAAGATCTTCCTGATGTTGAGATGGAACTTCCTGTGTTCCAGTTTCTGCCTATTTCCTCTCCTTCTGTCACTGGGCACCAGTGAAAAGAGGTGGCCCCAACCTCTTGACACCCATCGTCAGATATTGACAAGCATTGATAAGATCTCTTCTCAGTCTTCTCCAGGTTAAACAGCTTCAGGTCTCTCAGTCTTTCCTTGTAAGAGAGATGCTCCAGTGCCCTCATCATATTCATAGACCTCACTGGACTTTCTCCAGTATTTCCTTGTCTCAAACTAGGGAGTCCAGAACTAGATACAGTACTCCAGATGTGGCCTCACTAGGGCAGAGTAGAAGCAGAGGAAAACCTCTCTCAACCTGCTGGCTACACTCTTTACAGAAAAACCTGCAAAAGATTACATCTTTGGTTTTCTGATTCTTTGGACCCTTTTATAGTCACCCAAACATCACGGCCTGTGAATAGCAAAAAGAAGACCAAGCTCTTTAAGCAATCAGTAGGCATACCATTTCTACCCAACTATCTAAGCTGTGCAGTGCAGTGCAGCTTTTGCTCATTGAATTACATCCAATGTCCTTGGAGCTTCTTCCACCCCATACATATCCAAAGTGAGGCTTAACAACTCAGAGCACTGTGCAGTCCAGCTACAACTACACAATTATGAAAGTCCTGTCACCTGGCAGGTGTAGACAATCCCTTGTGTGGTTTCATGGTTATTGCCACAACATTTAGCATGTCCTCAAAGATGTCAAAGAAACATCAAGTAAGTTTACAGATCATCCCTAGCACTGTGCAGTAAAACAGATTAGGTTGTCAGCAATTTAATTTGAACTGAGAAAAGTTGGGAACATTTTCAGTCCCAACTCACCAGCTATTTTTATGAAGGTGTTGGATGAGGTCTTTAATAAAAATGTTCCCAGGGATATTCAGTTAAATTGAAGAAATGTGTTCACATTAATTTCAGTACTCCTATACAGTTCAGTTGGGTTCAGTTGGCAAACTCTCCAGAGGAGAGATTCTGTCAATGAAAACTGGTTTTTGCTTTGACAAATTAAAATTAGTCTTGCATTAAGTTTTTGTAGTCCCGAATGGCAGTTTGGCTTGTGGCTAGAACGATACTTATCTTCATTTTCATCAGCACTTAGTTATTTAAACATGGAAATTCTATATTTGTTCTGATACTGGTATTAGGACAACTAACTAAATTAAAGAAGCTTTTCTTTTTTTGTTACTTGTTTCAAGCTACAACATGTCAACTTATGCATCAAAGGTCTCACTAGTACCATCTCTTGTAACAGGTGGGGAGAATTACCTGACAAAAATGGACGTAAACAGAAGTTCTGGGTAAGTGAATCCTTAGTACTGTGTTTTGAGACAGAAGAAAAAAAATCTCTACAACACAGATTACCTAAAATCAGTTGATTTCCTTTAATTCACTGCCTTTGCATCTATTTTATTTCCTTTCACCTTGAAATCTTCTGCACAATTCTGTATCATGAATTTTATCATGCTGCCCCTTGAGCTATAGCATCATCTACCTCAGTTTCAAAGACTGTTTCATTTGATCTCTCATCTGTGTTTTCCCCTACACCATCATTTCTGTCTCAAATCTTATTCAAATTCTTAAATATTATTCAACTTTCCCATGAAGACTCAGGTATTTTTGATGCCTGCAAATGAAACTTAATAAAAGTAATCAATATATTTTGTTAAAACATGGAGAAGTCAAGCTATCTATTTAAACAGAGTTGGCAAATGCTATCCAGCTATCAGAAAAATAAGACAAAACCCCACATTTGTTTTCAGCAGTTTAGAATAAGTCAGATTTTGTCACCTTGATCATGATTACCAGCTCATCTCATTATTCCTGTGTTCAGCAGAAGGTAATCTGGAGTTTACGTAGCTGATGGCAGGGCTATGGTAGGTAGTTTCACTGACATCTGGGGCAAAATTTCTACTGACTTTGCCAAAAACTAAATTGCTCAATGTGTCAATAGCTACCTAAATAAAACTTCATTTATTAAAAGTCATCTTTTTCGTATCTTCGGTCTCTCTTTAACAGATTAGTTGCAAATGGAATTTTGACCATTTTTTGTTTCAAAGACCACTTTCTTCAGCCCATAGTTGAATTGTGTAATGATTTCTGCTTCAATTTATCAAACTGCCTTATAGAAACTGTGTTCCACTTTTATTAATATTATTCCATTTTATTATGGTTTTGGAACTGAAATTTTGATTGAAACAAAAAGGAACAAATGATTAGAAATCAGAAAAAGATGCATTCTGATATTCTGGTGCAACAAATCTGAGAAACTGTTTCTTAAAAAAACTCACACAACAGATTAATTTTTGCATTTTATACCTTACATTTTTAAATATAACTTTAAAATTTTTTTTTCTCTTTTTTTTTTTTTTTTTTTTTTCTTTAGGTTGCTGCAAATTCCTGGGGAAAATCTTGGGGAGAAAATGGTTATTTTAAGATTCTACGTGGACAAAACGAGTGTGATATTGAGAAATTGATTTTAGCTACTTTGGGATAGCCATACTCTTCTACTTTAGTTGTACTGTACTCTGCTTTATGTATCTATTCTTTTTATTGCTGCATATTGAGTTCTGGAGAAATAAAAATATCTGCTCTGTGAGTTACCTTTCTATTAGGGCTCATGAGGGCTTCCTGACTTGAACACAGTGCAGCCATCACAGCACTTTCAGATCTCCTTGGTACAAACGCTTCTTTATACTAATAGCAAATGGTATCAAGCACTACTGAAAATCTTGGTGTCTCACAGAGCAGGAAGTTCCCTCTTCTATTATTTGCATAGCACCATTGTTATGTTATATTGCTAACGGTTGATTCAATGGTGCCTGAAACAAATGGAGTTACGTTGTTAGTATTCATCATATTGCCCTTCAACACAAGAAAGATACTGAGGTGCTGGAGTGAGTCCAGAGAAGGGCAATGAAGCTAGTGAGGGATCTAGAGAGCAAGTCTTACTAGAAGCAGCTGAGGGAACTGGGGCTATTTAGTCTGGAGAAAAGGAGTCTCAGGGGAGACCTTATCATTCTCTACAACTGCTGGAAAGGAGGCTGTAGAGAGGTGGGTGCCAGTCTCTTCTCCCAAGGAACAAGTGATAGGACAAGAAGAAATGGCCTCAAGTTGCACCACAGGAAGTTTAGGTTGGATAGTAGGAAAAATTTCTTCACAGAAAGGGTTGTAAAGCACTGGAACAGGCTGCTCAGGTAAGTGCTGCTGTCCCCATCCCTGGACGTATTTAAAAAACGTGTGGATGTGGTGCTGAGGGACATGGTTTAGTTGTGACCTGGCAGTGCTGGGTTACAATACATAATCTGGTCAAAAATCACTTAAGAAATATTATGTGATCTTCCACACAGAACTGGCTCAGACAACTCATTGTTAGACAAGTTAAAATACTCCAAAGAAGTGTAAGTAGAGTTCTGATCCTGTTGCAGAATAATTAGTTCTTACAGTAGATTAGATAATTTTTATCTATGTATCGTTATCTCTTCTAGGAATTTTTTTTTTACTGGTAGATCCCACAAAGTTAATGCATTTAGAGTACACAAAAGTGCTTGCAGCGAAATAGTATATTCTGTTCCCACAACCACAGTTAAAAATATACCATTTTAATTTAATCAAATCAAATAAAGAAGGAAATGTAATTTCTCCTCAATTAAGTCTATACTAGACTAATTCCTGAACTGCTTGCCTTCCACTCACTCTTAACATCGGAACAGGCATGTGCCACCATTCCCAAAAGCCTGTTTCCAATGGATAAAGACAGAAAGGAAATTTTGTATTTTGTCTCCACTGACACATACGTAGTAGAAATGCTGGGGCTTGAACCCCGAGCCCCTGAATTAAGGTTGACCTATGGGTGATTCCCACAGCCCTTCATAAAGAGGTGGTGAGTTTGCCTTATAGCTTCCCCCCAGGGTGCGGCCGGCCCTGCAGGGAGAGCCAGAAGGGAAATGAGCCCCAGGGGTCCTGCACTGAGTTGACAAAGGTCAGGTGTCTGCTTGGGGATAAAAGCTGGGACCACTGGCAGGGGGTCAGGAGTGTCTGTCTGTGGAGTGCCCTCCCCAGAGCTTCCTGGTTCAGGGCAGACCTTCTGACTCTCCTGGAGCTGGGCCCCGGTCTCTTTAGACCTTTGCGAACGCGGGCGGATCGGGTGAGAGTCACTATGTGGGCACCTTTCTCTTATGTGTTTAGCTTGCTGGTCTGGCTGTTTTCCATGCCAACTGTGAGAAACCTCGGGTCTCTGTTTGTACCACCTGTTGTGGGCCAAGTTGTGTCATTTGTGGGATTGTTGGGGTTGGCATCGATCATGTACAAGCTGGTTGACCTGTTTGTACCCCCGGCGGTCATTTATATAGTAACATTTTTTCCACAATACAGTCTGCATATTGGTTCATCTTCCTGCTGGTGCTATCATTTTTGTTGGGCCTGGACTTTGGCAAAACAGTAGTCCAGTCACAGTTCTGGGGGCTGGCCAGCAGGATCAGTACTGCAGATTAGACACCCAGAGCCCCTTTCACTCCTAAGTCTCCTGTAGCTGTTTCTGTCTGAAGACAAAGCCTGCTGGCATGCATCCCCTCTTATCAGTATTGCTACTAGCTTTGAGAGGCTTGAGGAATACTTTGCTTATTTATTAATTAAAATACAGATATTGCAGCTATTGCTACAAGAAGAAATTAACTACTTTCTACCCCTTTTAGTTTCAATTAATCCAAAGGCCGGATGTCGACATGGATCATCAATCATAAAATTATCTATGTAAGAAACAACCTGGCACGTTAAATAGGTGGAAGAAAAAAGCTGCCATGAAATTCCAGTGAAAAAAGGATTTCCAGTGTCTTTAATAGACTACAATTCATTCCTTCTAGATAATTAAGAACTTGACTTCTAATGTCATCAGCAAAGGAGTAATAGCTTTCCCTTCAAGAAATTTCATGGCGGTGGTATACACCAGGTGTCCTTGCCAGTGAAATAATACCTCTTAAACTAAACTTGAGTTACAATTGGTGTTGCATCACTACTGAAAGAGCTATTAAAAGGTTTGTGTCATCCTGCTGCAAAATAAGCTCTTCTGTGGCCTCTAGTGTCATACAATAAACTGAATTTAGAAACAAATCCCTTTATCATTTGAAATTTATAGCAAATTGTAACAAAAGCAATTTTAGAAGAGGTAAGTGCTCTGAGAGAAGTAACTTTTCTAGATTTAGTAAGCCAAACCCGTACTGGAAGGGGAAGTGTACTGAGCCATCAACACAAGTACTTTCCAACCTCTCTGTATATATTGAATCCATAAACGTCAAGATTTCAGAAGAGTGGAATTTAGCTCTGCAGTGAATGATACTGCAAAAACATACCCAGCCAGCTCTGGGTGTTTTTGTTCTGTTCAACATCAATTTGATTTGCTTTGCTGTGGATTTTACTTTTGTAGGGGTTGTTGCTACTTCTGATTTGCTTCCAAGACCTTTCTAAGAGCTGGCCGTTCACATTAAATTTCTTTACGTGATCAAATGGTCATTGTGGCTTGAATGAAACACCATACCCAAGTAGAACAAATCCAACCATGTCAAAGCAATTTAATGGTTTGCAAAGTGATGTTTCTTTACCTGCCTTCTGGGGTTAACTGTCAGTGCTCTGTGTGAGTTATGTGCTCAGCACCCTCTCCATACTTTTTCAGTATCATAAAGCTACTGTCTGTGGAAATGTCACAGTACCTGGAATTTAACAGAGAGACAAATATATCTGCACCTGGAAGCCAATTTGCTCTTTGAAATCAATCCTGATACTGAGGCAGCCATTCTGCTGCTATTCAGAGTACAAGTGAAGGATCTCCTGACAGTGCAGGTCTTCTTACAGTGATCAAGAGACAATGGGGCCTGGGAGCCACCAATCACTTTGTCTCATGCAGACTACCTGGAGAAAGGTTTTAAATGTCAGAAGAGTGTTGACCTCTTCTAGTTCATTACTTGGTGGGAGTATGAGGAAATTTGCTCTTCATTAAGATACCACTTCTCTCACTCCTCCCCTTTTTGGTGCGTTTGCAGCCTAGAAAGTTAACTATGTCCTGGGCTGCATCAAAGGAAGCATGCCCAGCAGCTTGAGGGAGGTGATTCTACCCCTCTACTCTGCTCATGCAACACCCCACCTGGAGTATTGTGTCCAGATCTGGGGTCCTAAGCACAGGAAGGAAATGCACCTGTTAGAGTGGGTTCAGAGGAGGTCCACAAAGATGATCAGAAGGCTAGACTACCTCTCCTATGAAGAAAGACTAAGAGAGTTTGGGTTGTTCAGCCTGGAGAACGCTCTGGGGAGACCTTATTCTGGCCTTTCAGTATTTAAAGGCGGTCTACAAGAAAGCTGGGGACAGTCTTTTTATAAGGGCCAGTTGCAACAGGATATAGGGTAATGGTTTTAAAATAAGGAAGAATAGATTTAGCCTAGTTATAAGGAAGACATTTTTTACACTGAGGGTGGTGAAACGCTGGTACAGGTTGCCCAGAGAGGTGGTAGAAGCCTCATCCCTGGAAACATTCAAGGTCAGGTTGGACAAGACTCCGAGCAACCTGCTCCAGTTAAAGATGTCCCTGCTCACTGGGGGGGGTTGGACTGAATGACCTTTAAAGCTCCCTCCCAACCCAAACTATTCGATGATTTATTTTTTTGCCTCTCCATCACTAGTGCTCAGCCATGACTGCTAGCTTGGGCTAAAAGTGTCACCTAGCCTGGAGCTTTTTCCTGTATGAAGAGAAAGGGAAAATATGTGACTCAGGCTAATTCAGTAGAGAGCTCATCAGCTTTAAATCACTAGTATTACTAGTGGTCTGTGGGAATTTCAGAAAGGGGTGGTAGCAGAAAGGGAAGGTAATACAGGAAGGTCCTTTGTATTTCTGACACAGCGTGAATTTACTTTTCCATAAAAATGGGAAGCAACATTTTTGTGGCAAGCAAAGAAACAAATCTCTACTTAGATTTCACACTACAACATTTCTTGTTAACAACATGTTATATGAAGTTTTGATTGGTTGTCAGTCTAACTGTGAAACTCTAAAACTGAGTATAGAATTAGCTAGAAGAATGTATGCCACGGGACATGTTACCTGACAGTATTCATAACTAACAGAAGACTCCTGTCCAAATTCCTATATATTTAGAAACAGTTTTATACAGAGCTCTGAACAGAAACGCCTATGAACTTTGGGAGCGTTTTAATCTTCCCAATATTAACTGAGCTGAGTACACTCCTTTTGCAGTTTATATTGATCATCCCTCAGGGCTTTCTCACAATCAAATTCTAAATACTGCTGGCAGTATCTAGTATATGAACACTCTTAATTCCCTTTGAGATTGATTTAAGTGGAAATTAATTTAAAAATGACAACAGCTAACAAGCTGATAAAGGAACCCAGGTATTTTCACACTACCGTTACCCTTTTTTTTTTTTTTTTTCTCCATCCTATTCTTATAGGAACGTTGCCCATCTGCCAGATGTTAGCAAATCAGACCCTGAAGATTGGCTTCCTATTCCATGGAAAGTGCTGTCAAGCCTGGTAATAGTCTATGAGGGTGATGCCTGGCAAGCACTGAATTCCTGAAG